TCCACTTCTCTTCCTCCCCTTGTTTTTTTTTGATGTTTATTTGGGCTGCCATCAGTTATCAGCTGCAGGAATACATAGAATCTGGATGAACATGGTGCATTTGTCAGTACAATGATTGCCTGAAATTTGGCAACTCGTGGGGGGTCCTTTTTGCGAATTTCAAATTGCATTCTTTTAATGTTTAGTGTAGTGAAAAAGTGTCAATTTTTGGAAACCAATTTTTTTTTCACAATTCAGATCCAAAAATTATTGACGTATTGTTTTTTTTTGCAGGTATCCGCTGGCATCCTGTTCTCTTCCTCCCCTTGTTTTTTTTTTGATGTTTATTTGGGCTGCCATCAGTTATCAGCTGCAGGAATACATACATAGAATCTGGATGAACATGGTGCATTTGTCAGTACAATGATTGCCTGAAATTTGGCAACTCGTGGGGGATCCTTTTTGCGAATTTCAAATTGCATTCTTTTAATGTTTAGTGTAGTGAAAAAGTGTCAATTTTTGGAAATCAATTTTCTTTTCACAATTCAGATCCAAAAATTATTGACGTATTGTTTTTTTGCAGGTATCCGCTGGCATCCTCTTCTCATTCTCCCCTTGTTTTTTTTTTGATGTTTATTTGGGTTGCCATCAGTTATCAGCTGCAGGAATACATACATAGAATCTGGATGAACATGGTGCTTTTATCAGTACAATGATTGCCTGAAATTTGGCAACTCGTGGGGGGTCCTTTTTGCGAATTTCAAATTGCATTCTTTTAATGTTTAGTGTAGTGAAAAAGTGTCAATTTTTGGAAACCAATTTTCTTTTCACAATTCAGATCCAAAAATTATTGACGTATTGTTTTTTTGCAGGTATCTGCTGGCATCCACTTCTCTTCCTCCCCTTGTTTTTTTTTGATGTTTATTTGGGCTGCCATCAGTTATCAGCTGCAGGAATACATAGAATCTGGATGAACATGGTGCATTTGTCAGTACAATGATTGCCTGAAATTTGGCAACTCGTGGGGGGTCCTTTTTGCGAATTTCAAATTGCATTCTTTTAATGTTTAGTGTAGTGAAAAAGTGTCAATTTTTGGAAACCAATTTTCTTTTCACAATTCAGATCCAAAAATTATTGACGTATTGTTTTTTTTTGCAGGTATCCGCTGGCATCCTCTTCTCTTCCTCCCCTTGTTTTTTTTGATGTTTATTTGGGTTGCCATCAGTTATCAGCTGCAGGAATACATAGAATCTGGATGAACATGGTGCATTTGTCAGTACAATGATTGCCTGAAATTTGGCAACTTGTGGGGGGTCCTTTTTGCGAATTTCAAATTGCATTCTTTTAATGTTTAGTGTAGTGAAAAAGTGTCAATTTTTGGAAACCAATTTTCTTTTCACA